TTATGCAAACAACCAATACTGACTTCGACACTAACAAAAGACAAATGATGCTTCGACACCTCACAAGTAAATTTGACCTCAAATTCCCCCCCCCCCCTTTTTTTTGAGTAGTGTCGAATCCTATATCATTAGCATCTGAGAAACTTGATGTAAGACCCTTCGAATTTCCATATACCATAAGAGCAAATTACGAACCTCAGCTTTATCACCTTCTGAATTCTTCTTGCAATTATTGATAAGAGGCAGTAAACTCTTATACTGAGAGTTCGTATATCTTTCCACATCTTCAAACTTGAATAAAAACTTTGTAATCTTGTTGTTTTCATTCTTCCCAAAAAAGACAATTCCCAAGGGATTCAGACAAATTTCACCATCATCATAATTCCTTCAATTCTTGGCACCTTTCAACGAGGACTGTGGAACAGTGATTTGTTTTCCCATTGGAAGTGCAAGATCCACATCTATCATTGCAAGAAAATCATAGTAACTGTCTATGAACAACTTATTGGGAGCAAATCCAAGTAGAAACTCTTCTTTGTTGGTCAATTGAAGCTTCGAAACATCTCTTCATTTCAAAATTTTAGCAACATTGATGAGATCATTTAGATTCATCAATTGAAAATTTGCTACTGAAAAATTGAAAGCAACATTGTTGGCTCGGACATCATGAATTCTGAAACTTTTTAATAGCTCTTCGAATAAAACATGCTTTGAGATATTCAGAACTTTCACTATCTTCACCAAAGACCAAATCTCTTCTTCCCTTTTTCCAAAAACCACATGGAATCTAAGCTTTAGTCTTTTAAATTCATCCTTGTCTTCAAATTTATCAACAATTTGATATTGTGAAGAAATGAACATCATTTCATTGATAAAGAAATCCAGCCGATTGAAATCTAAATTTTCGATGTTAAGCTCTTTCTAGAAACTTTAGCAAACTCATGCATAACTCCACAACAAGCAGTATCCTTAATTGTTTCATAGTTGTAATGTTTGGAGGGATCACCCTTATCAAGACCAAGAGGATCGCTCTATCTTTGTCGAAGAATAATCTAAATTTTTCTTTGCTTCTCCATTTCTTGCTCCAAGGCCAACTTTTCGTCTTCGATAGTTGGTTCCGTCAAAATACCCTTTCCTTTTCGCTTCAATTCTTCTATTGATGGAGGTGGCTTCGAAATTGACCCACAAGTAGATGAAATAATGACAACACCTTTATGTAAAGGTTTCAAAGTCATGGTTGTAGAAGTAGTTGTTGTAGATACTGGAAATAAAGTGAAAATTTGTATGCTTGACACCTTGCCAATAACTTTGTCTTGATCAAAATTCTTTGATGCACCAACACTCTTTTCTCCCCCTTGCACCCTTATGGAAACAGGTGGGGTAGCCATGGGTATCAAATTTATAAATTGAAAAACAAGATCAAGATCAGCTTTCAAACGATTTTCTAACGAAGAAAACATTTGTAAGATGGACTCTTGAGAAACTGTTAAAGAAGAAGGAATAGCAAGTTTTGAAATCATCTCCTTTACTTCTGCCAATAAGCCTTGTAAATGTACAAACTCCTTAGAGTTAAGAGAAGTGTGATACTCAACAAGCCTCTTTACTGCATCAACAACTATATCTACCTTACTATGAAGGCTAGAATAGTTTTGATCAACTTACACAACCTCCTGTGTCATTTCTCGTCGAATTTCTTCAATTTTCAAGTTTACATCTTCCTCAACCTTCTTTACAGCATGAACAAATACAAGGTGACGTTATTTTGTAACAGCTCCTAAATCCTTAACTTCATGATTAAATTATTTAGATTTAAATTTCACCCGAAGTTCATTATTTTTATCCATCTGGTCCATCATGGCTTTCAGACAAAGCTCCTGAGCCTTGATCATCACATCAACTTCTATCCCAGAGACACTGTTTCGATTCCCAACATCAGCCTGAAGTCGGAGTAATAAATTAAGTCTGTAGTTGTGGATCTTGAATTGTTTACCCGATATTAGCATATGATTTGGTATATCCTCCTCTTCTGGATCAAATTGGAGATCAGCAAAAGAAACACACATCATCATCATCTTCTGTTGTAGTATCAGAAATGGATTTTGGTCTTTCAGTGGATTACAAGGGAAACAAATATGTGATAGGTTGATTGAGGATGTTTTGAAAAGTGGGTGGGGAAGTAGAAATAGGTAACAAAGTGGGGGAAACATATGGTTGCAACGAAGTGGTTGTATCAATATTGAAAGCTTCGAAAGTAGCTGAGACAGCAAAAGAAGTCGACACCCCATCACCTTTGATGACATTTACACCCATATCAGATATGTTTGCAGTGATACCTGAAGTTCGCACCTCCTCCATATTAGAGTTGGTAGAAGAAACTTCGGGAGGTATAACCGAAGTCTGCTCAGGGATGGAAAATTGTAAACGATCACCTAGATTGATGGTTGTGTCCACATGAAATGTTTCCACATTTCTACCAAGGCTGCTAGTTGCCTCAAAAATTGACTGGGCTTGAGATTCCCTCTGTGGTGACGAAAAACCTGTAACAACATGTCGAAGTGGAGATTTAGACTTACCATTATCATCGACATCTGTTTAAAGAACCACCTCATCCAATGGATCTTTAATATTCTTTTTCTTCTTCTCAACCTTCTTCATCATTTCATGAGCTCTTCGTTTCTTAGTTGTTGGAGAAACATGAGCTAGAATCTCACGAATTGTTACACCCTTTCGACTGAGTTGAGGCTTATGAATCCTCTTTCACAAGGAAATAGTCTTGGTAGAAGACTGTAAGCAAATACTTAGATCAATACGGTATCAATCAAGCTATCTATAGAATGCGGAGTATAAATCAGATAGTGATTCAAGAACACACAAATAACTCTTAATGCACATGATTTATTAGTTCAAAGCGTCTGGTACACCAAGAACTTCTTAACAACCAAATAAAATAATGATTAACAACTAGAACTCCTAAACGGTTGAAAATCTATTTATATAAACCTAGTACAAAGCCTTAACATGCCCAATCTAAGAGAACCGAATGCATCATTAAGCCCAACAAAATCACATGGTGATTTCGGTCCAAAAACCACCAAAAACATGATGTTTTTGATCCTAGATCGAGAACTCTAAAAGCTAGCAAAAAGTAAAGTATAAACCACAAATCATGTCCTAAAAATCTCCCATTGGTTTATAACTTTCTTTTCTTGTCACTCTTCTCTTTTTTCTTGACTTTTAACTTTTATCTTCGATTTCTTCACAAATTCTAGATGAACATATGAATTTCTACATGAATGATTTATCTTGAGCAGTTGGACTTCCTTTAAAAAATTTGACTTTGAACGCACATTGGGTATAGAGGCTTCTTGTAAAGGTTGTTGAAAATCAACACTTTCAACTTTGAAATACTTCATATATAATTACAGAGAGAACGATTCTTTTAGATTACTTTAGCAGTTTCATAAATAGCAACAAATTGATTGAGGAGGCTTCAATGCAATTTTTCACATAACTTCAAATACAACTTCACCTTGCTTCCAAGGTTGAAAGATTAAGTGTTGAAAAATAATCTTCACTTACAGTTCCTTCGAATGAATGTTCTTTAACGATCATAGATGTGTCTTGAAAAGTAACCATTACTAAAAAGTCCATGTGGATCACAGTCATAAATACCCTTCTCACCAAAGTTGTTCAAGGACCCAGTCTTAGCTCAGAAGGAGACTACTCGTAGTATCTATGTGAACACAAATGCACACATTGTGATTCGTTGTTGATTATTGAAGAACTACTCATGACTATTTTTGATGTTATCCCTTGCATATCCTCGATCAAAGATCTCAATACAGCTTTTCAAGTTAACAAGTTAACTTGGCCCTTGGCGAGACGTTCCAGGGTTTCTGAATCTCAGCTGAGTGCACCAATCTAGTGCCAGTGAGATTTAATTAGGAATAAATCAAAAAACGATCATGTGACAAAAATATCCGAAGAAATATTTCCATATTTTAGCATGGCACAAGGTCAAGGCCCTTTGGCGAGACGTTCAACAATAATCGTGCCTTGCGAGGTGCGTGGCCCTACTACCAATACCATTAATTCCTATTCAACGCTCTGATATCAACCGTATGTCCCAAAACACTTAGATCAATATGATATCAATCAAACTATCTAAAGAATGCAAAATATAAACCAGATAGCGATTCAAGAACACAAAAATAACTCTTAATGAACGAGATTTATTAGTTGAAATCGTCTGGTACACCAAGAGCTTCTTAACAGCTAAATACAATAATGATGAACAACTAGAACTCCTAAACAACTAAAAATCTATTTATACAAACCTAGTACAAAGCCTTAACAGAAGCAAGCCCAAGCTGACTAATAGCATCATGAAGCCCACCGAAATCACATGGTGATTTCGGTCCAAACACCACCGAAAACATGGTGTTTTCGGTCCTAGACTAAGAACTCTAAAAGCTAACAAAAAGTAAAGTATAAACCACAAATCATGTCCTAACAAAGATGGAGACAAATCAGAAACTACTTCGATAACATGCCTTTCCGGTGAATGACGAGGCCGATGAGCCATTTTCTTTAATTGTTTGAGAACACCATATTTTGAAGGCATGACCACCTTTGTTGTTTGAGAAGTCTCTTTGTGAACAGGTTGAACAACTTCCTGTTGAATAGGAATAGAATCAGGCTTCGATGGACTAGCCTTTGTAAACTTCTTTGGTGTAGAAATAGGAGCAGGCTTCGATGGACTAGCCTGAATAAATTTCCTGGAAGTTTTACCCCTCTTTACAGTTCATGTGACTCCCTTTGCCAACAAAACACCAGTAATAATTGAAGCATTAATGGTTTGAAGATATGCTACCAGAACAGGATTAGATGGGTCAACCTATCAAAGCATTGCGTATGGGATCCTTGCAATGGTAGGGAAAACTGTAGGATCGTCCTCTACTTTCTTGAGATGTTCATACGGTACAAATTCTGCCATGGGATCATTAGCGGGAACCAAGATACCTTCTTTTTAGTATACATACTTTAATATCAAACTCCAATAACGGGCACAAGATGCCCGATTCAATACTATTACCAAACTCTTACCATAAGTGAGTTGAATAATCCACTTGCAGATCATAGTATAACCCAGCCACCATAGCATACACCTCTAATTTTTCCTTATCCAACCCAACACTCGACCAGTCAAGCATCAAAGATAAATTCCAAAGAGGAAATTCCATAGAATGGGAGGGATTATTTCTTGAAATCACTCATTCTGGTAAGAGGTGGTTGATGCCCCATCTCGTTGAACATATGAACAACATTTTTATTCGTAACCTCATAGAAGGGTTCGAGATTAGGGATGTTCAGGATTTGGGTAAATTTTTTCTTAGACAACTTGTACTTCATTATATTGGTAAGTTGGAAGGTTACCATCTTAGTCGTCTTGTTAAAAATTGCAGTTGACCTAGCTAGAGAAAACCAAGTCATTGAAACAACAAAAGATGAAGACATCACAGTTGATAACATCGAGTGATTCAATGCAACAATCAACATCTTCAGTTCATTAGGATAAACATCAACATTGGTTTGAACCCCGTAATTCGTACTTTAAATCTTTAAAAGAGGTTGTGATGTGGCCTCATCAATGGTTTGGGAAGGATCAATATTCACATTTGGGGCCGCCATTGATAGGGTTTGAAGGTATTTGAGAGAACAGAGCGTATTAGGGAATAATATTTTGGAAATCTTTAACTTGATCGCGTAAAGTTGGAATGAGATCACCCAAAACCATTTTATACATAAACCTCAAGTTTGAATTTGAAGCGGTTATGCATTAAAATCATGTCATGTGTTGCCTTGAAAATCGGTCCTACAGCCATAAAAGCAGCCACGCCTGAAAAGTGATGAGAATTTTTTCCATGAAAAACATGAAGCGACCAAACCGTCACATGAATCAATCAGTTTGCATGCCCTAGGATGATAAGAACTGTCAAAAAACCTTCGGCATGGTGGCAAGGCTCATTTTCTTTTAGGTTGCGAAGTGAATACATATGCCAGACCTTTTGAAATCATCAGCCTAAGTTGGTGTTACTTAGAGCCTCAAGGATTTCAATGTATTCACAAATGTGCCAAAGAATGAGATAAGAACCAAATAAATTTTTTTTTTGGTTTTGTGATGTCAATACATAAGTTAACACAAATGCAGTAAGATCCTAGGCAAAGGTCACCCGGTTCTACATCAAGAGAGATGTCGAACAGCTTGTGTGGTTTCCCATGAATTACAATTGAATACTCAAAGAAGAGTATCGAAGAGCTTCTTTTTCAAGGCTTCATGGGTAGGCTGAATTTTGTTACATACCACAACTTAACATAAGTGTGAGAAATTGTAAACAAAATTACTTGTTTGACCAGTGTAGTCAGTGACAAGTTGGATTTGGAAAAAATTTATAAGTAAGTAAAGTGTTGGATCTTGCTGTACAAAAATGTCGTGGGTTTAAAACATTTTTTCAAGTCCACTCAAAATGAAGATATGCGATTTTGAATATCGAAATGTGGTATTGTAACAAGTGTTTCGTTAAAATCTTGAACTTGAAGTTCACCGTCAATTACTTAATAAGTTCGAAATGTTGGGTTTCACCATCATCACGGTCTCATGAATAGGATCATAAACACAAACTTTGTACATACCTAAATCCTGGTTGGTTTGAACTAGAGAGCTCTTGGGCATATGTCATTATGTGTGATCGTGAAAGAATTTTATGGTTAAAAAGATTGGTTTAAGACAAAAAAAAAATGTACCTCTTCTATACGTAGACCAAGTAGGAAACTCTTAACTCAACATGAAAAGCATAAGGTAGTTCATTGACTAATGTGAATATAGTCTGATTGGGAAGGAATCCTCGTGATGAGAGATCTATTAAGGATTTGAAACACATTGAATCTAGGAGGCTTAGGACAACCTGTTGCAACATGCTTCTAGGAACACCTAACTAGTGCAAAGTATCAAAGTAAGACCTTTCCTTAAAGCTGCAAATGCAAGCACCACCAAGAGACATTGAAAGCAAGCTACAAAAACAAGTTAACCCAACACAAAAAAAAAAAAAAAAAAAAAAAAAAAAAAAAAAACAAAAAAAAACAAAAACAAAAACAAAAAAAAAACAAAAACAAAAACAAAAAAAAAAACAAAAAAACAAAAAAACAAAAACAAAAAAACAAAAAACAAAAAATATTTTTTGCTTTTTCGTTTTTGAAATGAAAATAACAAAAATAATAAAATGTTTTTGGTATTTTTGATTTTTTAAATTGAAATAACAAAATAAGAAAATCTTTTTGGTATTTTTGATTTTTAAAATGAAATAATAAAATAATTTTTTTTTTTTGGAAATTTTGATTTTGGAAAAGACAAATTCTAAAGAAATTAAGAAAAATGCACTTGACAATTGAAACGTAATGTACCACATAGATTTGCCGCATCGGCATAACAATTGTGTTTTGAGTAACGAAGCGCAGTCTGATTCGGTTAGGGGAAAATTGAAAATAAAGTATGTCAAACACTAAAACATGAACAGTAACATCTGAACCATTCAACAATATATTGACACCGAGTGACGTTATGACGAAGTCCCATTTGGAACAGCATTCACATCAATCATGCCTAAGCCCGACAAAATCCTTAGCAAAGTCTTTTCATCCAAGGGTTTTGTAAAGATATCTACTAGTTGTTATGTTGTCTTTACAAAATGAACTTCAATGTTGCCATCTTCAACATGTATTTTAATTAAGTGGTAGTAAAGTGCGATGTGTTTGGTTTTCAAATGTTGCACATGATTATGGTAGATTCGTGTAGTGCTTTGTGAATCACAATACAACGAAATTTGCTTCATGTTGATTTCATAATAACGCATTTGACTTTGAATCCATATGATTTGAGAAGTGGAAGCTGCAACAACAACATATTCTGCTTCGGCTATGGAAATCGAAACACCCGTTTGTTTCTTTGATTGCCATCTAACAAGCTTCCCATCCAAAAGTTGACATCTACTACTTGTGCTTTTTCGATCTAGTTGACAGCCTCCAAGATCCGCATCAAAAAATGTCTATATAAAAAACCGTATTTTCAAAGGATACCATAAGCCCAACGAAAATGTACATTTGAGATAGCGAAAGATGTTCACTACTAGAAAAACAGCCTTTTACGACACTCATTACGCGTCGTAAAACGCTCAGACGACGCGCAAATGCATGTCAAGAAAGGCCCTGTCATAAAGAGAGACGACGCGTGGTTATGACACGCAATGCGTATCAAGGAAGGCCCTGTCATAAAAGAAGACGACACGTATTTGCCTGTCGTAACCTTACAACGCGCGTGTTTATGACACGCAATGCATATCAAGAAAGCTCCAGTTAAGAAAGGCCATGTCATAAATGAAGATGACACACATTTTTGTGTATCATGATTTTAAATGTTCTAAATAAAATATATTTATATATTTATTAATTTTTAAATTAAATTTGCATTTAATGTCTCATAATAGAAATAAAATATCATATACAAAAAATACAATCCATTGCATAAAATTTAATGTCATACAATTCTATTTCTTACAATATCTAAATTTGCATCTAATATACTCTGTACATAAAATTCCAACTAAGTAAAGTTGCGTCTTGCCTTTCATAATTCTTTAAGACTAATGCTCCAAGCAGCTGATTATATGGATAAGCAGTTGTACATTGGCCCATCTCACTCAAGAATGACTTAGCCAAATTCAACTCCAAGTCTTTATTGCATCTTGCTGATAATGTTGCAAGATTTGAATCAAGTAGCTTCATATTCCTTTCTTCCATCAACTTTACCTGATGCACAAAATACACATAAACAAAAAAACATTGTAGAGGAAGGGGTAATTTGAAAAAATGTGAGGGGTATCCTCTGCAAAACAAAACAAAAAATATCCGTTGCAAGATTTGGTCTTTAGTATCCTTTGCAAAACAAAACAAAAAATATATATCAAAAAATGATATTGTTTATAGTTTTATATTATAATTATGCCTAGAGTATTGCATACCTAAAGAACCATTTGTTAGCTCTACAACACTTTTTCAATTTGAACCTTGTCTTCCATCACTAACACCATCACCTTTTGCAGCCCCTAGGACTCCGCATAAAAGTTAGAAAAACTAAATATTACAAAAATATCCCTAGGACTCTTTTTGTCCCAGAATCTGAATTAAACCACAAGTGATGCTTCGATTTCTTTGTTTCTTGCAACTTTAACATGAAGTGTTCTGATGTTGTATGTGTAAAGTTTCACACTTTACAGGAGATTCTTGGGGAAGGAAAGAAGGTTAAGCTTGAACAGAAGGTAATTTCATATCATATGCTTTTGTGTTAAACTTGGTGTCATGGGCGGCTGTCCACCGGGCATCGATGGCAAGTAAGGGCTTGAAGCATTAGAAGAAACAAAATAAGTTTTATTAATCACACAATCAACAAGCGTTAGAAGTACCTTATAAGCAAGTAGGAGTATTGAAGTCCTCGAATTTGCATACACGAGCCTTAAAATCCTTGGCTGTCTGCACAACAAGCTAGTTTCCACCAGCAACATGGGTAAATATGTCCAAAAACTATTTGAATGACCTAATCATCTTTAAATAGCATCAAATCAACACCAATTCTCTATATCTACTTCATTTAGACCAAAAAAACAATTAAAAGACCTTGATTTTTAATTAATTGATTAAAAATGACAAATTTAAAATAAATAGTTTAAATAAAAAGACTTGTTTAAATGCAAATGCAACAGAGATAACTCCTGGTTTGACCAGCCCACCAAATTACTAACTAATTAAATTATTAAATTGTGGTTAGATAAATGAAATTTTAAAATAGAAAATAAATAGATTGGTTAATTTGTGTGGGTGTGTTCATCTTGTGTTGTGTTGAGATTTTTGATGACTCACCCCTGCTTCTGTACATGTAATTAGAAATAATAGAAAATGGAAACACAAAAGCAACACACCCAACCAAATATTAACAACATCATGGTGTTTTAAAGGCCAATTTTGGTCCAAATACTCTGATGCGAATATGATAGTATGAGTATATATACAAGGGTAAAACGATCATTTACTCATATCCGAACATCACTTACTGTTTTCTCCATGCAACACATAAGTTTCATTAAATCAGGAACCATTAAAGCAGCTAAATATAGAGTTAAGAAACCTCCACTTAATCCAGCACTAAAATAAGGTTGCATTCAGAAAGCTGCAGGGGTGAGTCACAATTCATGAATCAGTTAAAATTTGAGGAATAAAATCAAAATCAAAATCTAGAATCATGGTGATACAGAAGCAGTTACAGATATTTCAGTCCCAGTTGACTTTTCTTTCTTCTTTGGTGTTTCTTTTTGTTGTAGAGCAACTTTGTCTGGAACCAACACCTATGTCATGTTCTTGTCCCTAAAATTCTTGCTCTCCTCAACCGCTAGCTGCAGATTACAATATTCTTATATTTTTCAAAATACGATGTTGTGCAAAAAGATGGAAATGCCCTTGTCATATCACATACACATACCTCTCCTACGTCATCACGGAAACGTCTAATAAGATCAATCGCATTATTTTTTAACTCGCTTTCATGTCCCTTCAAGTTCACTATTAGTTTCACCTGTCAAATTACCAAAAAGTACATGATAAAATTCATCACATTTCAATTAACAAACACACACACACACACAATAACACACAGAGAGATCAAATGAATTATTGAAAAAACCTTGTCACCATCTTTTAGAAACTTCCGAGCAACTTTCAATAACAGAGAAACAAGAAGCCCTAGATCCTTGAAATAGCATGGATATACGAGATAACTTCCATGCATCAAGTGGAAGAGAAGAAATAATAAAAAGAAAATGAAAAGGGTACCTTTTACAAAGATGATTACGTTTCAGACTTTCATACACTACATGTAGTAAATCAATAATCTCTAATAAAGATTCAATTGTGTGGGAAGTATCCAGGTGTTGAGAAGCAATACATGATTGATCACTTCGAAGTGATATTCTATGAGAAAATCCACTCATGAAATGAGATTTAGAATATTTCTCGTGAAAGCTGTTGTTGACAAGAAAGGTTATCTTTGAGAACCTGAATATATCTGAGGATTTTTCCTATCTCTCCCAAAAATGTCTAATATGATAGCGCAGAAAGACTCCCATTTGGTATTAACCAGAGAATCCACCTTAGATAGATAAGTTGAATCACCATTGCCCCAAAGAAGACCCATAAAATGATTATATAAATTAGCTTCAAGTCCCACGACCATTTCTGTGATGCAATCATTTGCCAATGATGATGACGGGTATCTACGAAATGTACATCTGAGCATCTGTAATAAAAAAAATGGAAAAAAAATTGTAATGTTAACAACAGAAAGGAGTTTAACAAGTGAGAACATATATGTATGTGAGTAGATATCAAACTTGTCCATTATTTGCAATGACATTGATTCACCCTTCAACAACATCAGCCAATCCAACAACTTTTACATCTTAGAAAGCAGTTGGTGCTTCCAGTGGCTTGAACTGTGTGAAACACCACCATGGTCTTGAAAAGAAGGAAGGACATATCTACACAAGCATTGCTTTTCTGACTAATTAATTGAGGATCATATAAGTTCATTATAAAATGTTAAGCACTTGGAAACACCAAAAAACAAACATTTCTTTGAGCTTTTTCTTTTACTTATACACACACACACATACGCTATATATATAATGTATGTATATATACATACATACATACATACATACATACATACATACATACATACATACATACATATATATATATATATATATATATATATATATACTGTTAACAAAGTTATTGAGCATAAAAACTAGATGGAAAGAGCAACAAACTTAACCAGCTTACATAAAGTACAAGAGTGTTTTCTGGAGCGAAAACAATGATATCTCGATAGGGGAGCTGTCCAACTTTAACTCTAGAAAGAATAACAAATAGGCTTTGCATCAAGATCCTCTATTCTTTTTACACCAATATACGCACGACCAGATGCACATATTTCCTTCATACACTATTTCACACAAACAAAACGTCAGGGATAAAAAGGTAATATTATATAACATAATAAAATCAAGAAATAAAAAGATGTTGCTTAACATCTAGAACATAAACAACCTATTATAGAAGTAAACCAACCTAGCAATAAAAACATGTTGCTTAACCGTAGCAGATGACAGAACAACAATAACATATTGCTAGCCAATAGCTGGAGTATGCCTACGAATTGATCGGATATCAGCAAAAGAACTCTTATGGTATATAAATTTTTATCTATTTAAAGAAAAAATTTCATAAGATCATTAATTTGGTAATAGTGGATAAAAATCTAATGGGTTATATGATTAAATGTTAATAACATCTCTCTAAGAGTCTATCATTTGAGGTTTGCCATGTATAAGGTATCCATGACTATTATGAAACAAAGAACTAAATCTTAAAATCATAATAAAATACCCAAAAAAAAACCTACATCATAAACAAATAAACATTAATTTTACAACAAGAGAGCATTACCATAAATAAGAAAGAATCTTGCTTAACCAAATTCAAATGCCCGCTGATCCTTATTGTGGTAAACTAACTTGGATGAATACTCACATGATCCTTCATATATAAATTTTAATATAACCAAACCTGTGAAGGAACCCAAAGTAGTTGAATTTATGGAAGAATGATTTGAAATGCAATCCCATCCTATCTCTGCATACAACAAATTCAATAACAGTACACTTATAATAATTAAATGCTTTCTCAATTCAATGTTATAGCTCATCCAACTCTGCTAAAAGCCTAAAACAAATAAAAGTTTGGAATTTGGAAACCTGCAACGTTTTTATATAATTAAATTGTTCAGTCTACATTAAGTCTTCAAAACCCTTGAACCGAAACAAATGAACATAGTTTATGAACTGAAGCCTCACAATTATAAACAATTCATGTTCAATAAAAAATTATGCTCAATAAAATCCAAACAACTTTATGAAAAGTCATACAACCTTCACTCAAGATTAGAACACATACATGCCTTCCAAATCAGTGTGGAAAAATCTCAATAATTAAAAAAAACAGCCAAATTGAAAGTGACATAAGATTGCTTTGGTAAAACAAAACCTATACCATAAAGTCAACTCTACCTGCTTGTTTAGCTTTTTCTGTAGCCAAGTTGAAATCATTAGAGGGTAAAATTGTAACCTTTTACATATACCTACAATGAGCAACAAACAAACAATATTGTCATTAAACAAAAATATTGATCATTTGATAGTGCAAGGCATAGGTGAATCTTGTTTGAACATCAAACTTTTGGCATAACAGCTACCAATCCCAAAATGTTCAAATCAATTGTCATTAGTTAGCATATATACAGTTGAAGACATTGAGAGAGACAAAACATAGTACCTGAATAGTAATAATGAATTGGAACAACGGTAATCTTTAGTTTACTCTCTACTTTACTAGTAACATGTAGAGAAAGATTAGGTGTGCAATGGATTCCCAGATTTAACTAACTTACTGATTATAATAATATATATTTTGGTTCAAACATTTAGTCAAACACCTAGTGTGCATAAAAAAATCAGCTACTTATATCATAAAATATCAATAATTCCATGAAAAGGTTTGAGAAACGGTAGAAGGGCACAAAAATCATCCAAAAAGAAGGACCAGTGGTACATGAAATAGGTAACTGTAGTTGAAAAAAGAAGAATTACCTTTGGAATATGCCTACTACGCAAATGAAATACACTCCTTTAATTTTGAAGTCTCCAGAATCAGCATGAGGTCAAGATGACCTGAAGCAACTAGGAAACTATCATACTACATGATGGATGTGTGCAGAAGTAAGCAAGATGGCAACATCGGGAGAAACGACACTGCCAACAAGGAGAACCCACATAAGGGAAGAGACGAGAAAAAGGCATCGTATCGTTCTTCTGCTTGTTTATGTTGTATAAGTAAAATCAATATTGATAGAAGATTTATAAAAAATTAGGATGAGAGAAGAAAGAAAACATAACTTACTCCGTACAAGGTGGGTTGAATCCAAACTCATCAGACTTTGTAGAGAGAACTCATGTAGTAATGCCCTAAATCACCGATTCTCTAAGAGTAAGAAAATTAGTGTGATTCTGATGGGAACCTTGGATTTATGTCGATTCTTTCAAGTTTCAATCAAAAAATGAGAAAGACTTAGGGAAATCAAGAATGGAATGCTCACATTTACGACCATTGGGAAGATGAAAGATAAAAAGAAGGTAGAAAAGAAAAAGGTGGGTCTTCAAAATTTTGGAGATTTCATTTCCCCCCGTTAATAGGAGAAGTACGTTACATTAAAATTATAAAGCGACAGTCACAGAGGACGTGCGATTAAAATAAAGCGCCCTCCGTGTTTTTTTAATTTTTTTCTGGGACACTAATTTAAGGCACACAATAATGCGTGACTTAACTCCTTAAAATTTTTGAAGAGATGACACTATTTTAAGGTCACTCTCATTTGCGTAACATAAATCATTGC